TATAGTGGTCTTGTCAACTTCAGTTTGGTGCTTTCAGTGAGAATCTCCAGGACATTTATTACTACTTTTCAACATAAACATTTTGTACTGTTTATTCACATTACTAGGTAATTCATAGTCCATGCACAATTTATTATGACCTTCCTTCTGTAATAACAGATATATCAACAATGTCACTCTCTATGGTTTCATGTTTTGTTCATATGTATTCACAGATGAGACCATTTGATTTCCAGAGATAAATTCCCAGAAATAAATTCAAACCGCTCCTTTGGTGTTTACCTGAATTTTAGCATCTTAGAGCCTGCAAGCACACTTTCTAAAACATGGTTCAAAACACTGCCATTTCCTTTCAAGATGCACAAGTCCTTTTAGATGTGAGGTCCCCTAAACACAGACACTGTTTTACATGACCTTCTGTGTCCTTGAGAAGATATGAAATGATAATCATTATAATAATGAAAAACAACATGAGAGAAAAAAGAAAACATACTTTCTAATTTAAAGCAACCTAAAAAAATTTATAGCATTTAATTCCAACTAATTTTGTTTAACATATATTATTTTCAATACAATAATATACACACCTGAATTACTATGTAAGTCATGAATGATGATACGAATTTCTACTGTACCATATTTTTAAATCTTTACATATTAAATATCTGACTCAAGGGCTTCATATGATTTAAGGCAGTTTTGGAAAGATTTTGAGTCATTTACTTTTGTCAGACACTAATGGGCCAACAAGTCTCTTTACAGTATCATGCCACTCAAACCACAGCTTTAGAGCTTCTCAATATGCTGCTTTTAAAAACTGAATTGCTGATAAAAGACTTTGTTAAATAGTATTTAACAAGAGAGGGAGAGACACATATAAAGAGAAGCGATCTTCGTAACCATGATTAATTTTCTCTCTTGAAAGTGCAAGCCATAGATAAAGTCTTCACACAAGCGTGTGTGTAGGGAGGAGAGTGGGGTAAGAGATGGATATTTAGTTATTTTTTTCTGGGTGGGCAAAGGAGTACATTGCAGAAAATCACTTCAAATTACTGTTGCCAGTATGTTTATAAAGAGTATAATTTTATAGCTAAAACTAGTATTCGGGGTTCTTTATCTTCCACTAGAAACTGGATGATCCACAAATAGAAAACTAAAATTAAAAGTCACTTATTATTATAGCTTTTCTCTCTATAGTTGCTCCACCTTAGGAGATAAAATACTCAGAGGTCTTTGATCTTATCCAGCAAATAATGTATTACTATTACCCTGAAAGCTCATACATACATTCTCCGAACCATTGCATTGATCTCAGCTCCTGTGGAAGACATCCTATTCAAATGATCCTGTGAGTGAGTCTGAGTATTTAGCAATAAAGTATTGATAATTTTTACAGTAATGTTACTTTCTTCAATTAAGGTGTTCAATAATGTTTTAAAAATCTTAAAAAAAAAAAAAGAAAGACAATATCTGAAAACTAAAATGAAAAAGTTGCAGAAAGAAAAGCACTCCACTGAATAGTTACAAAAAAATTATGCGATTGGGAGGTTCTTACTAACAAAATGGAATGTACTGGGAGAGAGATTCTCTTAGCTTTTCCCTCCAAAAGAGTGAAAACTTCAAAAATATTATTGAAAAGCAACCAAGATCCATTATGTTTCTTAGAAATATTGAAACTTTAGCTGCCCAGACATACTCATCTACAAATGAAGGACCCAGCTACTGCCTATGCAAATTAAGGGGCATAAACTTTGAAGTAAATAGTGCAATAAAGCAGGTAATATCACTTACAAGCTGAAACACTAAGATAATTTCTAATGTGTTTGCTTGAATACATTAATTTTAAAAAGATATTCTCTCCACCTTTTTATGATTTTGAAATACATAAAACAGTCAGAAAATTCTAAAGTGAACTAATTTTAAATAACCATTGGATAGAGGAAGTAAAAGTTTATTTATAGGGGAATGTTAGAGAAGGTTTGCACACATTACAGAGGAAAAGATTGGAAAGTACACTCAAACATCACATCACATAAGCTATCAAAGCAATAACATATATAAGAAACATCAGGTGAAAAATAATTTTAACTTAATTTGGGAAGCCTGAATTATATTCCCTTTCCAACCTCTTTCTCAAAAGACATCAAAAAAGGGTTGTTATTATTATTACTTATCTTCTGTTTATGTTTTAGAGAATTTTATAAGCTAAAGCAGTTAAACCTCTAGCTAGATATTTCTTTTTCATAAATAATTTAGTTCAGATTGACATTCCTGTTTATACACACTCAAGTCAGGAGAACGCTTCCATATGTATTTTTATCATGCTTAAGCATATGCTGACTCACAATTTGGATAAGCCTAAAAGATTTTTTTAGCCACTAGATTTATTCAAACTCTTCTATATAAAGGAAACCTTTAGCCTCTCTCCCCTATTATGTCTCTTGAACTGATGTGCAGACATCTCCCTTTTATTGTCATATATTTGTTACCTTTGATAACACAGCTAAAACTGAAGACCTTGTCAAGTCCAAGTAAGAGTTTATGCAAGTTATGTGTGTAAAAGGAATATTTTTCTATGTTCTGAGAAATCCAAATAAAATCAAAGCAGATAGATTTTTTTTTTCTCCAATCCATGATTACAGAGCCATAATGCAGCTGAAAGCCCCTTCTCAGACAGATCTCCCCACTGACTTTCTGAGGCAGAGCATCACAAAAAGAATTTTACTCAACGCTTCTCTTCGACTTTTCTCAGAGCACATAGAACATCCATCAAAGATGTGCTTGTCACAGCTGAAGCACAACGATGCCCTGAAACCTCTGTTTAAATTTATGTATGCTGTACATCTTACTACTTTCAGTATAGTTACATGTGTCCTGAGACACATTAATTCAATATTCTAATGGAAAAGAGACCATTGAGAGGTGACCATAAACACACTATTTTCTTTAAATTCACTGCAGAGATTTAAATGCAGTATGAGAATGTCCTGAAAGTACTCCATAAACTTTTCTCCAGAGCCACAAATTTAAAAACAGATAATAATTTTAGAAACAATTATTTTGGGGAAAATCAAGTCATTATTGAAACTATGGGGGAGGAATATTTGTATGCTAGAGTACAGTGTTTGTGGTTACCAGTAACATAACTACGTAAAGAAGTCTTTTCTAGTACTTTATATCCTTTTCTTTGAATGTATTTAGTTACAACCATAGTTTTGATTTCCTGGATGGTAAAACTAAAAGTCTAACCAGGAAATACAAAGTCAAATTTACAGAAAATCTTTCTCTTATTCTTCTTACCCAGTCACTCTATTGATTATAGAGATACCATAGCTTTTGACTTACTGATATAAAAAGCTCGTATTTCCAGCAAAGAATATAAAAAGAAAAGTAGCACTGAGCAATACACCGTCTGTCTTGCTTAAAAAGAATACTACAGCACATAAATCATTTAGATACAGGTTATACTCTCTTGTGCTCAGATTCTAATAAACACATTCATAACACAAACCAGTTATCTGGACTGAAGGATACAACCATTATCAAAATATCTTAAGCTTGAGTCTACTGTTTTTATAAAGAGGTCCAGGTAAATCAAATTGAATAATCTGGTTTTATATTCCTTAAAATGGAATGTGGAGTAATTTATAACTGCCTAGAGTCATAGTCTTGCTCTTTTTACACAAGACAAAAGATGATCCTCCATGATCTGCGTGGCCAAATTGGATATCATTCAATGTGGATTGATTGCATTAACACGAGAGAGTCCACCAAGTGAGCATAAAAGGGGAAAATTAGACCTTAAACCTAATGTCAAATCAACATCCAAAGGAGGAAAGACAATTATGTATCCACCATGATGATGTCTGATTCCTCCATCAGCCACATCACCTACTAGTCTCACTGTCTACAGTAAGGCTGTCAGAGAGATGGAATAAACTTCAAAATTTTAATAATAAAAATTTATGTTAAACTAAAGACATTCTGAGTTTCTTCTTAGTGTTTAGGAAGTTTCAGTCATCTTTATTTCTCCTAGAGAAGATCATAACATTGCTTTTAATGTAGGAGTTAAGCTATATTTTTTCAAGAAAAAAGAGAAACGTAAAGTAGAAAAGAAGATTCAAATCTGAGGATGATTTTATTCTTTCGTTCATTTTCTTTCTCTCTTAAAACCCATCCCAAGCCTTTTCATATTCAAGCAAGACATACTCAACTTCACTTATTTCTTTAAAATAATAGCTTCTCCATCCGCATATTATCAACGGATCTGAGCTATAGTTTGTCAGTGTGTCAGCACAGAGCAGTGTTATAACAATAAAAACTTGATGAAAAATCTATGTGACCCTAGTCAGGATTCTTTTCTATACTCACAAATAAATGAGTAAGATACAAAATAGAAATTCCTTTGCTACCAGGCCACTTTTAGACATGACTTTTTCTTCTTTTTCAATTTATTAAAGATATAAGGATTAAATGGATCATTGAAATAAAAAGTTTAGAGAACAGACCAGGTGACAAGCTGCAACCTCTTAAATTCTATCTCAGTTGTCAGTATAGCATATCGATATTGTATTTTTGCATTATTGCAGTTCGAGTTTTAGTCTTATGTCATTAGTTTTTAAAATCTAGTGATTTTCAACTCATGGTCTATAGGTCTTCTAAGTGTCTGTGAAACGTAATTAAAAAAAAGTACATTATGAACAACACTATAGTAATTCCAGGGCACATCCCTGCATAGGAAAGTTTTTAGGCATCCACAGGGTAAAACAATGGTTTTCAATCTTTCTTAAGGTAAAAGGTACCTTTTGAGTAACAGTAGGACTACCTGGATCAATTTAAAGTAAAAAAGGAAAAAAAGTTAAACTGTCAAACTATACAGCTAAAATTGATTCTCTTTAAAATCATTAAAGCAATTATTATTTTCTTTTCTACATTATACATTCTGTGAAAACCTGAAATGTCAAAAAAGAGATCCTAAACAAACTACAAACAGATCTTACCGATGATAAAAAGAATTTCCACTGCAATGTCACTGACAGTTGTGCTTCGAGTTGTAGACAGCTCATCGTGGCCAATAAAGCAAACATTGTAAGGTACAGTCACAGCAACATAAAACGTTGCCAGTAAAATAAGCCAGTCCCAGCCAGCTTTAAAAGTGCTAAAATGCAACAGTATGAATTTGGATTTTTTTGCATCTGAAACTTTGTATTCTGGAAATGCTGGTTTATCTACAAAAACATTCTGAAAAAGAGAGAAAAAAGTGAAATGAGACAAAATAATAATTAGATCATACAGACACGTTTCTTCCAATGTAGCCATTTGTTTTTTTAAAAAGCATAAAGAAATATGACATACTCATAATCAGGCAAGAACTAATGCTAACTTTTTTCTTAATGTAGTCCTCACAATTATTTAGACAGATGGTTCTGTCGATGAAATAGCTTTCATGAATATTGAGACAAGAAGAGGATTAATAAGGAACAGCTTAAATAGAATAAGGAGAGGACTGAATCTGGCAAACTGTTTCTTCCTCTTAGGCAAATCCGAACTGAAGAGCAATGTTTTTCTGCTGGACAGATAGGCTAAAGCTTCGTATTCATGAGGACATAATATTGCGAATAGGAATAAACATACAGAAAGGAATAGATAGTGCTGAGGACAAAACATCCTTCCTATAGGTATTTTAGAGCTATAAGGAGACTTTCAGACTGACTCTAGCCTGGTCCTGTGGACTGAACAGCTATAAGTAGTTGGAGCACTTCTCCTGGTTTAATCTGCAGGAATCTAGTTTGTGTGCCTGAAACTGCTATGAAGCAAAGCACGACTAGTAGGAATAACTTGATTCTCTTCAAAATTGCGCTCCCGATCTAAACCAAAATATTAATGTAAACCCAGTACAATCCAGCCCCTGAACTGACCACCTTTGCCATTAGACATACCTAGCTTTGCCATGTGTCTCCATGTGTCTTTCTCATGTGACCAACAAAGGTCTTTGCAACAAAGACTTCCATTTCACACACCTGTTTTATAAATTCTTAGCTTTCATCCTTCAGAGTTTTAACAAACACACCTACCCTCCTGAAAAGCAGCATGTGTTACATGAACTATCATGTGCTATTTACTAACAGAATTCTTGCTCATTGACATTGTGTTCCTGGTTAAGGCTGTTCCAGTTGTGATGAGCCTCATAAAACAATATTGTGCATTCAGCAAGCTAAGATTATTTCTGATCTTGAAGTTATTCACTATGAATATAAAAAGACAACAATTGTGTGACTGCAAACTTAATTACACTTGTCTTGTCTGTCACAGCCCTTCCCTTTTTGTGTTTCTTTGGAAATACTGATGTCCTTGCCTTCTCCATTTTCGGTTCTCATTCATGAACCTTAGGGACTGAACTCTTGTTGTTAGCATCAGCCTATTTTTAATTGCAGAGATGAAGATGTTCCTTTGATGACTTCCAATTCATAGCTCTAAAGCATCTATGAACTAAAGGCAGTAAATTAGTCTGACAACAGATATTTTAAAACAGTATAATATCATCTGCACTAGGATTTTGAAAGTACAGAAAAGTCACCAAAAGCTATTTAAAAGTCATGTTCCTAAAAAATATTACTGTGCTATGAAAATATCACTGGAAGACCTGCTCATATTTTGCAGATTTTTTTTTAATTTTTACACTATTCAACATTTAACATTTTTAAACATTCTTAGCTTTTAACCTTTTTTTTTTAACGTTTAACATTTTTTAGCATTTAACATTTACATTCAATGGAAGTGACTGTATGCCCTTTGAGGCATATACCAGCTGTCTATTTTCATGTCTTTAATCTATAACAAGTTTTTTCTGCTTTTAATTTCTAATGTAATAATATCTAGGAGGAAGTGTCTGCACTGGTGCTTAATTTTGGTAACCAATAAAAGGAACATGCCCAGTGGCAGATCATCTTTTCAGGATGTTCATGATCTATATCCTTTGGCTACTTTTTTCATTGTATGTCTTCCATCCTCCTACTAACGATAAAAAAAGAAAAAAAAAAGAGACACCATTTTCATCTTGTGGCTTCGTCAAAAATTTTAGTTTTAGATGCTAATGATACACAAACAGGAAACTAAATATTGCTCTGAGATTTTAAGAAAAAATATTTCTTTTTGCTACTCTTGTTTCAAATACCTATAAGCTCTCACTGTTGGAACAAGCTCTCAGATGTTGTCCTAGCACATTTGTACACTTTTATATGTACATACTGATTTTGTATGCATCTCTACTTTTCCTCTGTGTTAATTTTTCTCCTGAAACATAGTTCCATAGAGTAGAAGAGTTATTATTTCTCCTGAGCATATTTCTTTAGAAGTCTTTCTGCTGCTGTATATTTGGTTTTATCTATCATTTGATTCGGTTTTTGAAACATTCACAGGGTGTTTTATGAATTTACTTATTAGTTATATTCACTAGTGAAACACAAAAGTAATTTAAAGAAAGAAACTTTACTTCTTCAATTAGGAAATGAAAAGATAAATTTACTCTGTGCAAAGTTAGAGGCATTCACACAAAAAGTTATCTAAATGAAGTGTGACCTTCTGGAGCTTACATAGCATAGAGATTTTCAGATAGAGTAATACCTTGAGTTTCTTCATTATTTTTTTGGCAAAAAGTAATTATGAAATAATTGGGATGGTAAGGTAAATTGGAACTTAAAATTAAATTCTGAGAAATCTTCTAACATGGTTTTCCTGGCATTAAATAAATGTCTGTTTACAGCATGGCTAAATGCACTGTCTTGGTATATGGAGTATAACAAACACCATATTGGGACTGCATTTAAGTATGCTTTACTCCTCTTGTTACCACAAAATTATGAGTAAGACATTTCTCAAGTACTCATCACTGAGCTTTTATAGCACATTTAAAAAAAAAAAAAAAGACAGTTCAAAGAGTGTATTTTGAAAAAGAGGAGAGTTACACCTACATTATTAATTTTTAATTTGTTCTTCTCTCTTCTTTGTAGATGTCCAGAGATATGATAAAGGACAGCTCTACTCCGTCTTCGTGCTGACTCAAAATGTGACCCTGCTCTTCCTCTCCCTTTCCATTTTTCTGCAGAACAGAAGTGAGAGTCCATTAAACATCAGGAAATGGCACTTTAACCTTTGAGAGCTGAAGTACTGACATTTTAGACATTGGTAGAAACGTCTTAGGGCTAGGCATAAAGATTTTATACATCTCTTTTTAGTTTTGCTTAATCTTTTGCAGTTAAGAAATCAAGATCCCTCTCCTGAAGGTCAAATAAAAATCACTGTAAACTTTTAACTGTCAAATGTTTTCATGCAACTCAGAAGCAACTAATTACAACATACAATTTCATAGATAAGAAAAATGTACTTTTTACTGTTTCAGAAAATGAAATAGTGATTACTGACCAGAGGCAAGCATAGCTGGGAGTAACCACTTAAATCATCCTTAATATATTCCTACTCTCTGGTTTCTGGGAAAGAAAAGCAGCAACTTTCTTGTGGTGTACTTTTTATAAACAAAGAATCTGACTTGTACTAGGCTTCCATTATGTCAGAATATGCTAATTCACAAGCTTGCTCATTAGTAATATCCAATTCATATATTCACGTGTTTAGATTTCTCACCACATGGTCACTGGCATAATCACTTGACACATTCCTTGGTGACATGAAATCCATTTAGAGTAAAAACTGAACACTCTCTTGGAAAGGTCTGTGTTTTTTCTCTGTATTCAGATGTCTGTAATTGTCAACCATGGGATCAAATTTTGTTCTTGGTTATACAGCAGTAAATTCAAAGTAACTCCAGTGACTCTGATGGAATTACAGTGAATTGATGCCAGAATAAATGAAACCAGACATTTTGTGATGTGTCAGGACTAAGAAAAAAGGAATTATGGGAATAAAGGAAGAAGCTGTCTGTCAAACAGGTTTAATTAAAGTCAATTCAATGCATACAAATTAAGGAGGGAAAAAAACCCGAAAACCAATTAGCAGAGCCAGAAATTAACAACAAGCAAAAATAGCTGCATCTTGAAACCTGCCTAGAAAAGGCAGAAGGATTTGAATTACAGAAGACTGATGTATTTTTGGCTCTACAACACAAAGCCATACATAACACAAAGTATAGGAAGCTAAACTTTCCAAACTTCTCCGTGAAGAACGTTTCACGTAATTCATGCAAGAGCCTTCTCCAGTTGAGGATTTTTTACATGTCAGTAAGGAGAAGGGGAAGAAAAAAAACCCAAGAAAGAAAAAACATTGCACTGCAAAACCAAATAGCTACTCGAAAGCTGAATGAGGCAGATGGAGAAGCCCCGTACTTCCCCATATCCAACTTGGGTGTCTGCAGGTGGTTTTTTACAGAGCTTCCACACGTGCAGGTGCCAGCTATGAGGACAGGTAAAACAGAAGGGACTATTTCAGAAAATACTCAACTAAATGAACATTATTTTTTTTTAATTTTCATCTCTCAATCATCGAACCATTTAAAACTCCAACTAAATTTCAAAAGTGTTCTTAAATTCTGGGTGAGACCAGAGTGCTTATTTGTTTCTCTGAGCAAAAATGAATTTAAGTCTATTGAGTCACATCTCTACTGCAGTATTGGACTGCTGTAGTGTATGACTATAGTCATATGACTTTGAATTTAAAGACCTTTTTTTTTTCCTTTTCTCAACCTAAACTGCCATTGTTGGATGAGGCCATTCAGTTTACTGCCTCACAAAGTAGTCCATCTGCAGATCTGCTATGAGGCAGGCTGAGAAAGAGGGTGAATACCTTTCTCAAGTTTCAGGCCAGCAACACTTTCAGGACTCTTTAGCTAAAGGCTTCATTCTCACGATGCCTCATATCTCTGCATGTCCTTGGCCTACAAAGCACAAGTTAGCCCATCCTGGTAGGAGGTAGATATAGCAGCCTCGGTGATGTAAGGTGTTGTGAGACTCACACTGAACCCTGTTGCAGGAGGCAGGCACAGTGTCTTAAGGTGGAGTACTTTCAGCAACCCCAGCAATACACTTCCCGTGTGAAGTGGACCTCTCCACCTCAGGTCAACCTTGAAGGCCTTCTCTTTACCTCTTCTAGATCTCCCTTGTCTCCTTGTCTCTCCTTTTAAAAGGAGCTTTTAAAGCTCCTTTTTCCAGAATAACATGCAACTTCACCGAATCACAGAACTTGCAAGCTATGGTTACACAATTGTCTGATACTATAGTGAAATAATGCCTTCAGGTTTTTTTTCTTTAATAACTCCTAACCCCAGATTTGCCTTTTTCTTACATGCTGAGCACTGTGCTGAAAGACGTTCATAACTCCATCTTTTTCCAGAATGCAATAATTACTATGGAGACAGTTGATGTACACATATTCAGTTAAAGTTGTTTCTTTTTATCTATATATTTGTTGTCACTCATTTTTCATCTTCTGTCCACTCTTTAAATAAAACCAAGTTCCTTATAAAATTTTAAATTTTGTGTGCCTGTGGCCTGATGTTTTGCTTTAGATGGATACAGTCTCTCCTATGTAGGTTTAGCATTCCAGACACTAAGAATTCTGTACTCGTAAACCTGCTCAGGCTGTGGGGCTTGTTATGGCACTTAGAATCATACTAGTTGGATATTTGCACAGCAAGTGATTTCCATCACATGCTGATTCTACTATTTGCAAAGGATTAATGCTACCTCTATGTTAATATTAGAAGTTACTCAACTTCTAGGGACAGTAAAGCATGGATAAAAAAAAAAAAAGTGTGACATTCATTATGAAGTAATAATATTTTTCTTTTTAAAGAGAAATGGTAAAGATTTTTTTATTGCAGTTATTAGCAGTGAAAAAAATAAGTTCCTTATGCAGATAAGATGCCATCAGACAGTGCTATCACTGTTAATAGCTTATAACATAAACCAGCAAATGATATTTGTGCATTATCCTGCTCTCTGATCTTCCAAGTGCCTTTAGGAAAGCAGGCAATCTTGACCCTTAGTAAACTACTTTTTTCACTATGTGTGCCATTGCATGTGTACGATTACTCTCAGTAACCTTCATTCTTTTCCTGTTATACTCAGTTTACAGATCATTATTCTGAAGAAGAGAGTTTATTTTTTATAAACACCCAGCTGTTTATTTCTGGTTCTTAAAAAAAGAATTTGGCACCTGACAGACTTGCTTTTGCCTTTCCATGTCTGATCTTAGAAAAAAGATAGAATAGTAAATCCAACCATAAGCAGAAGGTCACTTTAAATACAGCTGTTTTATTTTTACCCTGTGCTTAAAATCAAAAGGATTTCTCATCTCCCCAAATACAGTGACAAATCATTGTTCTAAAAAAAGCTCAGATTTGAGGCTCTATTTCCTGGCACTTCTACACACTCCTTCCTGTGTGATGATAATCCTCCTCCCAAAAAGTAGCTCTTAAAAAGGTTGCTTTGCAATTTAGTCTTAACTCTCCTTTTCTTAGATGAGAAAAGTGGTAATATGCTTTTTAACTCTTCTTGCTGTTCTCCTTTGTTTTTTTTTCATTCAAATGAGACTACGTATTGCACCACAACCATCACACATGACAATCTCATGAGTCTTTTCTAAGAAAAGAAACTAAAACCACTTCTTTACTAACCTTAACATTAGTCATATAACAGCTTAAGACTTCTTACAATCTTGTAAGGAAAGGTTGCAGTAAAAAAAGCACGATCAGACAAAACCTCCTTCATAACTGTTGACTTTTCTGTTTGTGTTTTCATAAGAACATGAAGCATCAATCTTCCACTTAAAGATAGTAGAAAGTGGAGGCATAACTCTTTTCTTGTCCCTTTGGAAAAAGAATAAATCTACTCCTGAGGTATAAATCAAAAAAAATAATACTCAATAAATTCTGACAAGCTCTACTAGGTATATGCTGTCTTAGCAATGCAGAAGAACTGAAAACTCAGCTTTACTGACCAAATTAAAACCAAATCTATGTCTGCTCTCCTTCAAAGTCAGCACAGCATTGAATACAGTCCAGAATACTTTATGGTTTGTAATGTTCTCATTCTCAAGATAAAGTATGATACATTTAAATCCTTGAAATGCAAAATAAAGTGTTTAATCATCAAATGGAAGATAAGACTTATACTGTTCTTTCAGTCATGAAGTTCATGCAATAAGAAATGAAAGATATCAAAGTCCTCCCAGAGGTAGAGCTGGACCTGGAGGAGGCATTCTCAACACATGGTCGAGGGAGCCCATTGCAGCCTGCCAGCTCCTGGGGACCTTCTTTCTCAGAACAGCTGAGAGGGTGACAGAAACTGGCTCATGACCCAGGAACCCTTCTGCAGGCACGAGCAAGCTGCACCTGAATACCACCTGCTCTTGCTTTAGGTCTCCATCCCTATGCTTGGCTGTAATTGCACAGGTATAGGAGCTTCCTTGGAAAGCAAATCTATTTCTTACAAGCAGAACCACCATAATCTTGTATAGTGGACTCAACCTGTCTATACGCAGTAACTCTGACATGACACATAAGCATTATGCTCATTCCATAGCAGAAAAGCTGTGGCATGAGAGAGACCATGAAATGCATTTCTTTCCAAATATCGAACTAAGCTAACACCTGCCCTGGCCAAAAAGGTTATATGTTATTGACAAAAAATTTCTCAGCCTTGAGAAATTCAGCCTTGAGAAATTTTTCCTCATTTTTCACAGCATTAATTTGTATCCCTTCGAAAGAACTGCCTTCAATTTTCCTCACATTATGCATTATGACAACAGAATATCGTTGATTAAAACCACAACCTAGATTTCCCTCTGGTGTGACTGAATGCCCAACATGCTCTTTTTACAGAATCATCTCCCAGTCTGATCATGGATCATTACCATACAAAGTTTTCTATACAAGTGTGCATGGACATGAAAAAGAAAATTAGTATCAGGCATTTCATTCTTATTACGCAGGAAAATCCAAGAGATTTATCTGTTTTTACCTAAGCAATCACAGATTTAGAGAATGAATAAAAGCAACTAGCACCTCTCAAATGTAACCCACAACACAATATACTGACAATATGAGAATGAGGTAGAGAGGGGTGAGATAAAGTAGCCTGAGGGTTC